GAAACGTCATGGGAGAGTGTGACCTTCCAGCGGCTACTGTACCGGTCTAGCAGGAGGCGAGAGGCTGGGTCAGTAGCAACTCGAGGAGGTGTCATGGCGGCGTCTGTTTCGAAGCTTGGTCGATGGAAATATAACCATGAAAAGCATTAATTTCCATCCGTTTTTTTTTTTTTTTTGGAAAATTGAAGAGACCGAAATGATCGACCCTTATTCACAAAGCATCCGGGACTCTTGTGACGTCATCAAAATAAACCCCACGTGCTTTTTTCTCTTCCTAAAAAAAAAAAAAAAAAAAAAAAAAAAAAAAAAAAAAAAAAAAAAAAATAGAATCTTTCGCCATGACACCTCCTCGTGTTGCTATTGATCTAGGCTATCCCTTATCAGGAGAGTTCTGTGCTGTGGCGACTTGGCGATAAAAAATGGCGTTTATCTCTGTAGCTTATCTTTATTTATTTATTTATCTTATATTTATTTATATTTATTTATCTTATCTATTATATTTATTTATTTATCTTATATTTTATATTTATTATTATATTTATTTATCTTATATTTATTTATATTTATTTATTTATTTATTTATATTTATCTTTATTTATGTTTATCTCTGGGGGGAGGTCAGACTCGGAAGGTCCGTAGTACATACACGTAATGGGACTTGCACCGGCCATGCATGGTACACTCCTGGGGTTGTGGTGTTCATGCAGAACAACACGGTAAGGGCAGTCAGAAGTCGTGTTCATTTACCACAAATTTGAGGGCGTTTCATTCTCAGAAGTTGAACACGGTTGTGTGTGTGTGTGTGTGTGTGAACGTGTGTGTTTCTTTCTTTCTTGTGTGTGTTTTTTGTGTTTGTGTGTGTTTGTTTGTGTGTGGTGTGTGTGTGTGTTTCGTGTGTGTTTCTTTCTTTGTTGTGTGTGTGTGTGTGTGTGTGTGTTTGTGAATGTTGTTTTCTTTCTTTCTTGTTTTTTGTGTTGTTTGTGTGTGTGTTGTGTGTGTGTGTAACGTGTGTGTGTGTGTGTGTGTGTGTGTGTGTTTTCTTTCTTTGTGTGTTTTTTGTGTTGTGTATGTATGTATGTGTGTGTGTGTGTGTTTGTGTGTGTGTGTGCGTGTGTGTGTGCCTGTGTGTGTGTGCAAGAAGGAGGCGTGGATGATGAGGATGCGGTCTTCGAGAGTGTCACAGGATCTGACGCGTTGGGAGGCGCCCCTGAGCACGTGACAGCCAGCGGTAACACTGTCTTGTCATATTCAAATCAGAGAGAACAGAGGCCATTCCTGATTATATAGAAATGTCATAACAACCTTTGTCGTTGTCGTTCATCACGCATTTCCGACGAAGATCCAAACGCAATGAATACCGATCTTGCACAGTGAAAATATTCGTTCTCAACCGTGTCTTCTCCTACATTCGTCACAAAGAGACCTATACAACTCCACACATAAAGCACACGCCATGTAATAATAATAATAATATGTTATAATAATAATAATAATAATGGTACAAATAATAATAATAATAATAACACCCAATAATAACGGTACATATCAATGGCAACGGTAAAAGAGAATGGCTGTGTCATCTCTCACACGTAGTATGGTAAACTAGCTTTGTATTTAATGCAAAATAAAACGCATGGGGACTACATAGTTTAAAATGATACAAAAGTTGCGTAGAAGCGAACATAAGCGTGTAAACTAAAACTACAATAATTGTAATGTTAATGATGGTAAATAACAAAAGGAATAGTAAAAGAGGTTGACTATAGGCATGAAGAGAAGAGAGTGAGAGTGAGAGTGAGAGAGAGAGAGAGAGAGAGAGAGAGAGGAGAGAGAGAAGAGATGAGAGCGGAGAGAGAGAGAAGAGAGGAGAGAGAGAGGACGAGAAGGGAGAGGAGGAGAGAGGGAAGAGAGAGAGACAGAGAGAGATCGGAAGAGCAGAGACAGAGAGAAGAGAGGAGGTGGAAAGAGAAAGAGAAAACCAGGAAAAAGATTATGAGAGAAGAGAGCAGAGGGATACCGACCGTCAGGCTCGGAGGGAGGAGGGACGAGAAATAGCAAAAAGAAAAAGACGCGAGACAAGAGAGATAGTGCTAGGAAACAAAAAAAACAGCAGACCCAACTAAGTACCAGAAACAGGGGAACCGTGGGAAGTTCAAACATGAAAGAAAAATCTCAAACGACGTGAGAAAGCGCGACAAGAGAAAAAGGAGACAAACTATCTATATCTTGAAAATAAGCTGTCAAGGAGGAAGCGGGGAGGGAAAGGAGGAGGGAGAATAAGGAGAAGAGGAGAAATGTCAGGTGATGGCAGGAAGGAGATAGGAAGGAGGTGAAGTGAGGAGAGGGAAGCATAGGGAGGATGGGAGAGTGAGAGGGAAGGAGGAAGGAGAAAGGGAGAGGAGGGCGTATGATGAGCGATAGGAGGGAAGAGACGAGGATGGGATGGGAAGGAGAAGATCTTAGGAGAGAAGGTGAGCAGCATGAGGGAAGGAAAGGAGGGAGAGTCAAGAAGGAAGGAAGGAGGAGGAGAGAAGAAGAGGGGAGGGGCAAGGAACAGGAGAAACCCACAGAGAAGGGAACGTTTTGAAAGGTAAGGAGGAGAGGAGGGAACACAGGTGACACAAAGAGGGAAAGGATAGAGAGGATGAGGACTAGATTGGGAGAAGGGTGAGAGGGAGGACTAGTAGAACGAAGCGAAAAGAGGTGTGTCGAAGAAAGGGGTTAAAGAAGGCAAGGCAAATTTCAAGACAATGATCTCGGGGATGCAGGAGGAAAAGTGGAAAAGAAAAGAAAGGAAAGGGGAAAGAAGGTAAAAGAGGGACGCGGGCTCGGCATGAACGGGAAAAGAGGTGAGTACTGAGAGAAACGTAAAGAGACTAAGGGATAGCCGAACAAGTGAAAGAGAAGGAGAACATCCAGAAAGAGGACCAGGGGCCGGAACGAGAGAAAAGGTAAAATGCGAGTAATATCTGGAAACCAGGCGTCGAGTGATACGGAGTGCGTTGAGTGGGACAGGACTGGAGCAAAGAGAAACAGCACAGCAGGAAGAGAGGAGGTGGAGAGCGAAAAAGAAGAAGGGCAGACTGGGGAGGGAGGAGGGAGGATACAGCAAGAAGAAGGAGCAGCGAGAGGGCGGTAAGGCAAGTAAGAGGGACAGGAAATTGAGAAGGAGAGAAAGGATTGGGAAAGGAGAAGAGCGGTGGAAGTGGGAGGAGGTAGAAGAGAAGGAGCAGCGGGAAGTGGGGGAGACAGGGGAGAAGGGGGATGTATTGAGGGGGAGAAAGTAGAGGCGTGGGGAATTTAAGGGAACAAAGAAGAGAAGTAAGCGAAGGCGGAGGTACATAACGCTCAGCCATGACGCTTGTTTTTGAGAGGGAGACCACGAAGCGAAAGGATCAGAGGTAAGGAGGGGGAAAGAGAACCGCACTGTCGCCACTATTTTGTCCGTTGTAGCGGCGAACTGGCACTGCATTCCTCGGGGATTGGACTTTCCTGATTCGTTTGACCCCCTTTCTGACCTCCTTCGCTCTCGTGTGTTTTGTTGTTTATCTAGATCTTCTCCTTCCATCTGAATATTTGTCTACGTCATTCTTATAGGGTTTTTCCTCTTTCTCTCCCTCATTCTCTCTGCCTGTCCGTCGATTCTCTCTCTCTCTCTCTGTCTCCTCTCTCTCTCTCTCTTCTCTCTCATCTCTCTTCTCTCTCTCCTCTCTCTCTCTCTCTCTCTCTCTTCTAGTCACTAAACTTTTTGTCTGTCTATTGATTGCTTCTCTTTTTCTTCTGTCTCTCTATCTATTTATCTCTCTGTCTCCTTCTATCTCTCTGTCTATAACACTATCTATCTCTATCTCTGCCTGTCTGATCTCCTACTCTCTCTTCTCTGCTCTCTCTCTCTAAATCTCTCTCTTCTCTCTCTCTCTCTCTCCTCTCATCCTCTCTCTGTCTCCTCTCTCTCTCTCTCCTCTCTCTCTCTCGCTCTCTCTCCTCTCTCTCTCTCTCTCTCTCTCTCTCTCTCTCTCTCTCTCTCTTTCTCTCAAGTAAAACAACAGAAGAAGAACAGGAAAGAACAATAACAATGACAATGACAATAACAAGAACAAGGACATATTCATTTGTTTTCTCTAATCCCTTTGTTGTTTTATTTACATTATCATCAAAAGTTCTCGTTTTCTTGCTCATCAATGTTAAATGTTGCTAATATCCTTATAATTATTTCGTCATTACTGTTGCAGTTATTATCATTATTATCATCATTCTTATTTCCTATTATTAATATAATTATTATCACTTTTATTACTATCCTTATTCATATGCTTATTATTAATATGATTATTATCACCATCATAATTATCATTATCAGTATTACCATTATTATCATCAGCATTAGTAGTATCATTATTATTATCATCATTATTATCATTATGATCATCTTTATTACTATTCCCATCTTATTGATATTAACATTATCATCATAATTACTTTGATTGCTATTACTCATTGATATTATTATGATTGCCATTACTAGCATTAGTATTAACAATAGCATCATCAATCTCATCATTTCTTCTATTAGTAATCTACTATCCACGATTTCATTATCAGTATTATCATTATGTCATTCAGTGTCATTATTCTTATGAACCATTTTATTAGCAGTGATGTCAGCGTTATTAAGGCTATTATTGACACTGCTAGCGAATTAAAAAGGATGATTAATGCAGTATACTGATTAGATGGATATACTTTTATGCAAACAAATTTCTTTTTACAGCTCGATATATCAAGGGCAAGAGAATGATGTTTATACTTATCTAGAATTAAATGACGCCATTTCATATCGTGCATCAACTACACTCACCATCAAAAATAGGAAAATACATGCACTGTGGCTCTCCTATTACGCTGTGTGGGTTTTACCAACACACTAGAACGTTCCTGTTAAAAAAGACAACAAAAACATCACATGGCAACCGAGCCACCATGAGAGGGCGTATATAAACGTGGGCGAAGCAACCGCGCGCAATTGGACCCTGCGTTGTCAAGAGCGAACATGGCACTCATCAGGACGATCGCCCTCGTGGCACTCCTTATGGTGGGCGTGGCGCTGGCACAGGAGCAGACCACAGCTGCAAGTACAACCAGCGGTAGTAACGATGCTGGTAAGTAAATACGTGCTGTTCATTAATTCTTGTAATACATATTTATTTTTATCTGTGTAGGGAGATTTAGAAGACACGATTGTGTTGTTTCTTCACGAATGTCATGAATATTCTTATTCATATAAAAAATGAATTTATATATACACAACAGATGAATAAAGGGCACTGCAGTTATTACCATTCTCATTATTATGATAATGATAATAATAACACTAATGATAATGATAAAAAAACAATAGTAAATAAAGATGAGAAATAAGGATACTACCACTACTACTAATAATAATTGTTATTAATGAATACTACAACAATAATACTATCATTACCATCACTATTGCTGTTATCATTATAACCATCATTTTTATCGACATTAACGGATTAATTAACGAATCTAATTATTTTTTCCTTCTTCCCAGCGGTTCGTTGCGCCAACTCCACCGACAACACAGAATGTCTGCGTCGGGTAAGTTTACTGAGTGAAACAATAACAAATGATCAGCTGATTGGTGAGAGGACACGTGCTTCTGATCAGCTGATTTGCGTCATTGTTGTTATGCTTTTGTCTCCTTCCCTTTACTGTGTGTGTGTGTGTGAGAGAGAGAGAGAGAGAGAGAGAGAGAGAGAGAGAGAGAGAGAGAGAGAGAGAGAGAGAGAGAGAGAGAGAGAGAGAGAGAGAGAAGAGAGAGAGAAAAGAGAAAGAGAAAGAGAGAGAGAGAGAGAGAGAGAGAGAGAGAGAGAGAGAGAGAGAGAGAGAGAGAGAGAGAGAGAGAGAGAGAGAGAGAGAGAGAGAGAGAGATAGTGTGCGTGTGCGTGTGCGTGTGCGTGTGTGTGTGTGTGCTTACTCTCTTGAACTACCTATTCCAACTATCGTTATCATTATTATACTCATTATTATCAATATCATTAATGTAACCTTCATTATTATCAGTATCATTATTATGATCATTATTATTTCATTGTTATTATTACCACCATTATCACTATTATTATCATTAACACAATTTTTATTATTATCACAATTGTTATTATCAGTATTTGTATTATTATCACTATCAAGATTATCACTATTATCATTATTGTTATAATTATCATTATTATCACTATCATTATCGTTTCCACTATATATCACTATTATCATTATTATCACTATTATCATTATTATCACTATCATGATTATTATCACTATTATCATTATTGTTGTTATCATCACCATTATTATTGTTAGTAGTAGTGATTGTAGTAATAGTACTATCATAACCACCACCACCTCACCACCATTATCATCATCAAAATAATCATCATCAAAACAATTGCTATCATAGCTGTCTCACCATTATCCTCATCACCTCATCACCATTACCTACCCATTCATCACCTCATCACCATTACCTACCCGATTATTCTCATCACCTCATCACCATTACCTACCCGATTATTCTCATCACCTCATCACCATTACCTACCGATTATTCTCATCACCTCATATACCTACCCGATTATTCTCATCACCATTACCTACCCGATTATTCTCATCACCTCATCATATCATTACCTACCGATTATCCTCATCACCTCATCACCATTACGTACCCCACAGGCCGAAGTGTGCCGAGCCATGTTCAACCGCACTCACACATACGACCGCATGGTACAATCCATTCGCGATTGTGCTGAACAACTCAACATAACTCTGCCCACACCAGCTCCTCTACCGGCCAACAATAGTTCAGGTATGTGAGGGAGATGAGGGAAGGAGGGAGAGGGAGATGAGGGAAGGAGGAGGAGGGAGATGAGAGAAGGAAAGAGGGAGAGAGGGAGAGAGGGAGAGAAGGGAAGGGAGAGAAGACGGGAGAGGGTGAAGGGAAGGAGGATAGGGAGAAGGGAAAGGAAGAGGGAAGGATGGAGAAAGTAAGGAAGGAAGGAGAGAGGACGGGAGAGGGTGAAGGGAAGGAGGGATAGGGAGAAGGGAGGGAAGGAGGGAAAGAGGGAGAGAGGAAGGATGGAAGGAAGGGGGAGAGGGAGAGGAAGGAAGGAGGGAGGGAAGGGGGAGATGAAGAAGGGAAGGAAGGAGGAAGGAGAAGAGGGAGAGGGAGAATTTGAGAAGGAAGGGAAGGAAAGGAGGGGGAAGAAGGAAGGGGGAAGAGGAAAGGGAAGGGATGGGGGAGAGAGAGACAGAGACAGAGACAGAGAGAGAGGGAAGAGAGATGGAGAGAGAGAAGAGAAGAGAGAGCGAGAGAGAGAGAGAGAGAGAGAGAGAGAGAGGAGAGAGAGAGAAGAGAAGAGAGAGAGAGAGAGAGAGAGAGAGAGAGAGAGAGAGAGAGAGAGAGAGAGAGAAGAGAAGAAGAGAGAGAAGACAGAGAGAGAGAGAAGAGAGAGAGAGAGAGAGAGAGAACGGAGAGAGAGAGAGAGAGAGAGAGAGAGAGAGAGAGAGAGAGAAGAGAGAAAGAAAGAAAGAGAAGAAAGAAAGAAAGAAAGAGAGAGAGAGAGACAAAGAACATCACACTCCAAGTCACAACATCCCGTTTTCTTTACAGATCCCGACAGGAGGTACTATAACCAACTTAAACTTTGGTTCCGTGCAAGGCCTCAGGTGAAGCAACAGATCTTCAGCTGTGCGCATCAGAGTATGGTAAGCGACTTGGTAACATATATTAACGTTATCTGTGTTTTTGAGTGTTTTTTTTAATTATTTCTTTTGTTTTTTTGTGTGTGTTATTTACGGTGTAATTTTCAAGAATGCTTTTGTCCATTGGGCAGGGGAGGATATTTTTTCTTCTTCTTCTTCTTTCTTTTCTTTTTTTCTTTCTTTTCTTTTTTTCTTTCGTTCTTTTTTCTTTCTTTTTCAATTCATTCACCTTTTCTCTCCCTCCACCTCTCCTCATCTCTTATATCTTCTTTTTCATCTCCCTTCCTCCCTCCTTCACCTTTCTCCCATCTTCCCCTCTCATTCCCTCATTTTCCTCGTATATCTCTCATATATTTCCCCTCTTCCCCCTTCTATCATATATTTCTCCTCTTCCCCCTTCTCTCATATATTTCTCCTCTTCCCTCCCTCTCCTTCTCATCTCTCTCTCACATATTCCTTCTCTCTCTTCCTCCTTTCATCTCCCTTAGCCCCTCTCCTTTTCTCTTTCCCCTTCTCCTTCCCTCCCTCTCCTTTTCTTTTTCTCTCTCTCCTTATATCCCTCTTTCCCTCTTCTTCCACTTTCCCTCTCTCCTTCTCCCCGCTCTCGCAAATCTTTTTTAACTTCCTCCATCTCCTTCTCTCCTTCTCCCTCTCTCACAAACCTTTCTAACTCCCCTACCTCACCTACCTCTCCTTCTCTCCTTCTCTCTCTCTCACACACATCCTTCTAACGCCCTCCCTCCCTCCATAGCCCTCTCCCCTCTCTCAACACAAACCTTTATAACTCCCTACCTCACCTCCTTCTCCTTCTCTCCTTCCCCCTCTCTCACAAACCTTTCTAACTCCCTCCCTCCATATTCCTCTCCCTCTCTCAACACACACCCTTCTCCCTCTCTCTCTCCCCTCCCTCCCCTCTCTCACAAACCTTTCTAACTCCCTCCCTCCATATCCCTCTCCCTCTCTCAACACACACCCTTCTCCCTCTCTCTCTCCCCTCCCCTCCCTCTCACACAAACCTCCTAACTCCCTCCCTCCATATTCCTCTCCCTCTCTCAACACACCCTACTACCTCCCTCCATATCCCTCTTCCTCTCTCAACACACCCTACTACCTCCCTCCATATCCCTCTCCCTTTCACACACTCAGCGGTTAGCGACTTAGTCTAGCAATCTTGTAAACCTGCGTTCAATCCCGCTACAAGTGAATGGTAACCCCGGCCATTCCTCGATCGCAATGGGAGATCTAGGATTTAGATTTAGATTTTTTAGATTTAGTTTTAATTCCATTTGTTACAATGGATATTCTTGGCTGTGACACACTGTCTGTTTTATTTTGCCCAAATCTCCCCCTGTGTGCAAGGAATGGCCGGGGACACCACTCACTGGCCGGGCGTGGGATCGAACGCAGGTCCGCAAGATTGCTAGACCAGCACCTTACCGCTGCGCCAGCACAGCAAAACAAAACAAAGAAGCAAAACAAAACAGTCAATATATCACAACAAAGAATACCCATCGTAACAAGTGGAACCAAAACCAAAAAATTTTCACTCTTTTAGAATACCCATTGTAACGAGTGGAATCAAAACTAAAAATTTTCACTCTTTAGAATACCCATTGTAACGAGTGGAATCAAAAAAATCTCAAATTTTCATAATACCCATTGTAGTGGAACAAAATAAATCTAAATTTTTCACTCTTTACCCATTGTAACGAGTGGAATCAAAACTAAATCTCGAAATTTTCACTCTTTTTTCCCTCCTCAGTTCAACAACGACGGACTCCGAGACGCGAGTACCTGAAGACCCGCGTTGTGGTGTGGGTGGGCGAGGAAGAAACCATCCTGGCCGGGCTGTTAAGGAGTAACATCGACAGTTGCTCAGCGCCGTCGGTGAGTGAGGGTGGGGGGGCGGCGTATGAGGGGGGGGTTATGAGTTAGGGTAGGGTGAGTGTTGGGTGAAAGGGATGAGTTAGGGTAGGGTGAGTGCGGGGTGAAAGTGATGAGTTAGGGTAGGGTGAGTGTGGGTGAGATTATGAGTGCGGGGTGAAAGTGATGAGTTAGGGTAGGGTGAGTGTGGTGAGATTATGAGTGCGGGTGAAAGGGATGAGTTAAGGTAGGATGAGTATGAGTGAGATTATGAGTGTGGGGTGAAAGTGATGAGTTAGGGGTAGGGTGAGTGTGGGTGAGATTATGAGTGCGGGGTGAAAGTGACGAGTTA